TGGGGAGGAGGTGCCTGCCCCCCCAGCAGCCACGGGCAGCAGGGTGCAGGGATCCCAGCTTTCTGGCTGCTTCCAGGGGCTGGGGCCGAGGGCAGGAGCCGACGCGTCTGTTCCGTGGCCGCGCTGGCCGGGCCTGTGCCCTCCTGGCCCCGGGTGGCTTTGCCAGGAGAACAACCTGTGAGATCTCCCACAAGAAACATCTTTCATTTTCTCACTGCAGTCCTTTATTGGCACTTTTTTTTTTTTAAATAAATAGATCTTATTTGTAGATGTAATGAACAGCTGCATTTCCCTCCTGCCTTGTCCCTGTCCCCTCCTGAGCTGCAGTCACTGCAGAGCAAAGGCAGGGGGTGAAGCCTTTAGCTGCAAGTGCCCTTCACACAGAGCAGCAGCCCCAGGGCTTTCTGTCAGATGGTCCAGGGGAACCTCTGTCATCAGGCAACTGGCTGGAGCTTTGCAGGGCTTCCTTATAAATGTAATGTTTCTTTCCTCAGTGGTGTCACATTCCATGGTACCAATATGTGATTCCACAGGGAGGTGAGGCCAAAGGTAAACCAACCCATTGCTTACATGGCAGAGTCCCTTCTATTCCAAAATGAACTTCCATTTCTTAATGTTCCCTTGAGTGCTCTGAGTTTGTGCCACAGGCAGAAAACAAACCTGATCCTTTCCCTCTTTTTTAGGGAGGGATACAACAACCCCCAGGTGTCTGGTGAGAACCTGATAGGCCTCAGCAGGGCCCGGCGCCCACACAACGCCATTTTTGTCAACTTTGATGATGAAGAAATCCCCACTAAACCCTTGGATGCTGCTGTACAGACCTGGAAGAAAGTGTGCACCAATCCTGTGGATAGAAAGGTGGAGGAAGAGCTGAGAAAGGTGTGTGCCTTACTCTTGACATGAGCACTGTACTGCAGCATGCTGTGTGGGGAAAAAACCTGCATGCAGCCTTTTTCTCATGGGTTCCCCAGAAATTCCTGAATGATAACAGCAAGAGCTAGTAGAGGCTGTGTTCACTTCAATTGTGCAAGTCAAGATTTGAGTCTGTTTTTGCAGCCAACTGATGTTAAAGTCCATTTTGTGCCACTAGTCCTTAGATTACCACGCTCATAGCTCATACTCAAAGGCCCCCACGCAGGAGGATGTCCCACTTGGAAAGCTGAACTGCCTTCATAACCCACCTCTCACTGTTTCTATGGTTGTTTCTGTATTATTTTAGCTCTTTGAAGTCCGTCCCATCTGGTCTCGGAATGCAGTAAAAGCCAATATCAGTGTCCACCCAGACAAGCTGAAGCTCCTGTTGCCATATCTGGCCTATTACATGGTGAGTTGGTGCATCTGCCCTTGGGCCTGCCTGGTCCTTCACCCTTTCTGAGGTCCTGCCACTATGTGGCTCACTCTGAGCCTCAGTGAAATGTCATGTAAAGAGAAAGAGAGAAGGAAAACATTGCTTCTGAACAGGAGTTAGAACCATAAAGGATTCAGTACCTGTTTGCTCCACGGTTTCTAATCTACTTTGTAGTTCAGTCAGACACTCAAACTGACTGTCCACCTGGCAATGGTAGCAGAATTTTTCCAAACACACACATTATTTTGACCTTGCAAGTTAGTTTGTAAAAGCAGACAAATATTTGTGCTTCAATGCATTGGCTGCCCAAGTTTCAGTAGATAAATACTGGGGTGGCAAGTGAGGAAAGAGGTGGTAAAAGAAATAATCATCTTTGGTTAATAAGGGGAAACAGTAGAATGTTCTGAGAACCTCTGCAATGCTGTACTGGATTTTTGTAACCTTCTTCCCCCTTGTGTGTTTATGCAGTTAACAGGTCCTTGGAGAAGCTTGTGGGTTAGGTTTGGGTATGATCCCAGAAAACACCCTGAAGCAAAGATTTACCAAGTACTGGACTTTCGAATCCGCTGCGGAATGAAATATGGTAAAAGGGCCCAACCCCCAGAGATGCTTTTTCTGCTTTCTGGTTAATCCTGGTAGTACCTTTCTTTTTACTTGTTTTGTTTCAACTCCTTTGCCATATTTCTGCTCTGATGAAGATGGCACCTTCTGAGCTCACTGCTTACCGTAGCTCTGCCATAAACTCCTTTCCTCATTTGGCACATTCCAAACTCGGTGGAGAGCTGCCTGCCTTGCCTCCTCCCTGTGTTCAGAGCCCAAGTGGATGTAGCATCTTCCCCCTCACTCAGGGGAGGCACTGGGCTGCAGATTCTGTTGCTTTCGTAGTAGCTTTTCCTCAAGGACCCCAGCATCTTGTGCAGGATGCCAGCTCTCAGACCTTGGGACACAGGGTTCCCCCCACTCTGATTTGGCAGAGGGGAGGGACTTCCTGAGCTCATCTAGTAAGTCCATGACAGAGCTGGCATCCACTCCCTGCCATCAGACCACATCTCCATTTTTCCAAGTTAAGGGGTTTTGTTGATCTGATAGCTCTCCTCTCCACACCTTGCTCAAGTCAGCATATCCCAAAGACCAGATTGCCTTTCACACACCAGTCCAGCACTTCTCTTAGTGTGCCAGGGAATTCTTGTCCTCAGTTCATGACTGATTTTCTTTTTCCACCTCCAGGTTATGCCCCTAACGATATGCCTGTGAAAGCCAAACGCAGCACATACAACTACAGCCTGCCCATCACTGTCAAGAAGCCAGGTATGCTGTGCCAGCAGCAGGGCTGCCCGGCTCTTCTGGTCCTGTGTTTACCCCAGCCTAGACACAGGTGAAGGGTCTTCCTGTGCTCTGAGCCAAAATGGGAGCTTTATTTCTGGTTATAATACAGTGTTGCTTTTAAGGCAGTAGAAGAGTCTCCTGCTGGGAAGGTGCACATCTGGCTGAGCCTCACTATCTGTTAGCAGACTGTGGGAATTCAGTGACAGTGCAGAGAGGAGAGTAGATCTTTTTTCTTTGTCAAGGGAGAGCAGAAAAAATTAAAATTATTAACAGATGTGCTGTGGAAAAAGCCATCAAACTCACCACCTTTCCGTTGTCCAGTGACATCTCTAAAGAAACACGTGCTCCTTGCTGGCTTGGTCTGGCTTTTGCTGATCAGCACAGAGCCACAGAGGGAAAGATGTCCTTCATTAGGACTCTTGTTTTTCTGTTTTTCAGTAAGTCATACAGTCAGTGTACATGATCTGAAACAGGGGCTTGGTACATCCAGTGCATCTGGTGGGAAAAAGCCTGCCTGCAGCAGGTATAAGCTGAAGGTGAGTGCTCCTCTTGTATCTGTTTTGTCAGTCTTGAAGGGGACAGCTGTGTAGACCTGTGCCTTGGAATTGATTTGTATTCCCTTATTCTTGAATCAGCCCATTGAAAGTACTTTTCAGTCATGTCAGAGTTGTCCTGTTACACCATTAACTGCACATTAATCCTCTCCTCCTGCCCTCTTAGGAATCCATCTACGTTTTCCGAGAAGGAGCCTTACCCCCTTATCGGCAGATGTTCTACCAGCTCTGTGACCTGAATGTGGAAAGGTATTGCACCCTGGCAGCTGAGTCTTGTTTGTGCTAGATTTCAAAGCCTATGTTTTATATCCAGTCCATTCCTCTTGACCAGAAACTCAACAGATCTTAACTTCTGCCTTTTCACTCCTTCACTTCCTTTCCTATATGACAGTTACTCGAATAACCAAATACGATGTCCCAGCTCAGTGAAGTAGAATGGTAGTAAGCCACAGAAGCCATAGTCTCCCTCATTTGAAGCCTACATCTGAGTGCAGGAGGTTGTTTCCTTCCCTTTTGCTGCTTTTTAGCCTACAGAAGATCATCCATCGGAACGACGGCGCGGAGTCAGAGTGCACGGAGCGGGACGGGTGGTGCCTTCCAAAGACCAGCGATGATCTGCGGGACTCCATGTCTCTGATGATAAAGCAGATAATCAGATCCACGAGACCTGGTAAGGATGCTTATGAGCATCAAGAGTGTATCGCTGCCTTCCTGATGATGTTGGGATGTTGAGGGCTGGATAAGGATGTTGCAGTCAGCCCTGGGGCAGTGGTGTTGCTGTATTTGCCTCCTCCTCTGTGCTACATCTGGTGCTCTGACCTATTCCAGTTTGTGAGCTGAAGCTGTTGTCCTGCAGCCTGAACATGGGTTGGGATTAGGAATGGCTGAGAGTAAAGGTTTTCTGTTTCATCTTCCTAGTATCTCAGCCTTCAGGTTTTAAATGTCTTTGCACAGTGATAATCAAGAGTTGACTCTTACTGATAGTTGCATTTTACTGATGTTATTAATTGAACAAGAAGCAAGGCAATCATTTTGGTGCTGGGCCAAAGCAGTATCCCAGTGAATTAGGTCAGAATCAGCTGGGAGAGGAGGCACAGCACTGCAGATCTGTTCTGTTAGTGGCCCTGGAGTATGAGGAGAGATTGCTTTGGACTTGATCAAATTCTATTAAGGTGTGCACCATTATCTGTGCTCCTCTGTCTTCTGCCTTCCTCTCACATTTTATGAACTCTTTGGCAAATGCCTCCAGGTTTCACTGAGAGATCCATCACAATGTTCCTCCTTCCTTTCTTCCCAATTAAGCTCTTTTCTCAAGTACAACAAGCAGTCAAGATGGAAAAGAGCAGCTGGCATATGAGTCTGGAGAGGATGAAGATGATGAAGAGGAGGAGGAAGAGGACTTCAAGCCTTCTGATGGGAGTGAAAATGAAATGGAGACAGAAATTCTGGACTATGTGTGAACTCAGTGAGCAGTCTGGCTGCTGTTGGATGGAATCATCTCTGTTCTTGTTCCATGAGAACTGAGGGGTCAGCAACCATGCCCAGGGTGTAGGAAACCAGAACTTAAGTACTAAGATGATGACAACCTGTCTGCACTGACTGCTGTACCTGCTGATGGCCATTGGTTTGGATGTTTCACTGCCTACATTTTCATAATTGATGGCTAATGAGCCCTCAAACAACCTCAACAAACTTCCAAGAGCAAGCCCAGAATCCAAACCCAGCTGGCAATATGCCAGAAAAGGGCAGAAGCTACATTCCCAGATCTCTCAGTGTGTGGGAGGTGCACCTTGGCCAGGTTGGTGGACATGTGAAAAACAGGTGGCTGGGGAAAGCAGTCCAGGGCTGCTGGACAACCTCAGGCAGGTGCTGCCCTTCTCTTTCTCTGAGGAGCATGAAAATACTGTGTTGTGACTTCAGCATCAAGGCTCGCTGGATAGAATTAAAGCTAGCAGGAAAACACACTTTCTGGCAGTGAATAATTCCCTTGTGTGGGATGTAGTGTCTGTTGCCCCTGCTAGCTGATGCACTTCCCAATTCTGTTTTGACTTCCCCCGTAGTTAGCAAGGACCAAAGGAAGCAGAGGGGCAAAGCTTCAGCTTTTTTTTTCAGGGGAAAGTGAATGAGCAGCACTGAGTACCTGAAATGCCACCCAGGGCTCTGAAATTGGCTTCCATATGCTTGCCTGACTGAAGGAAGCAGGCAGGGGGGCAAAGCTTCAGCTCCACAGAGCTTGGCCACTCATGAGCCTGCCATTGCTGGCTGGAGTGTTACCATCCAGTCATGGAAATCAAGGATCTGCTGGCATTTTCTGAGCCTTGGGCATTGCCCAGTGTGTTCTGAGTGCCAGGTTTCTCATTAGTGGCCAATAATGGGTTCTAATGCAGGGTTTGATATGATTTCACCCTTCTGCACCTGTGTGAGGCTTCTCAAGGCTTCAGCACTTTTTTATGTACTCTGGAGTTTTATTAGACTGAGATATTTCCTCAGGTCTGGCCTCCAGCCCACGGGAGCAACATCTGCAGGGCTCTCACAGTGACATACACACCTGTGCTCCTGGATGCACCTCGGGCAGCACAGGCTGCAATGGCAAGTGCAAAGGCTTAAGACCTTAAAGGGGGCTGTGGATCAATTGGTCTGTCTGAGGGCACCTCTAGCCAGAGTGAGGTGTAGGTCCTGGCAATGTGGGAATCCAGAGGCATGAGGGACTGTGCAACAGATGGAACCTTGTCAATACAACAGGGCAGTAAGGAAAAAGGAGAGATGCAGTGGATGTTCCTACTCAGCAGTGGCACATGTGCTCAAGTATTAGCAACAATAAACACTTAGAAATGCTAGGAAAAAGCACCTGAAGCTAAACTTTCTACCAACAGGAGGCCCAAGGCCAAAGCAACCAAAAATCCATTGTGCCAGATGACATTTATTCCCCCAAATCTCTCCATCTGTGCAGACTGCAGTGACTGGGATGTCTAATTCTGCCTGAGCCGGTAAGCAGTGTTACCAGCCCTGTCTGTACAATCCAATCCTTCAATTTCCAAATCTCAGGCTTTAACATCCACACTCAGAATCCCCACACCACTCAGGTAATCTCCACTGGTGTCCGTGCAATTCTAAAATAGAAAAGAACCATGCTAGGAAACAAGCCCTTGAGTGCCAAAGGAACGATGCCTCAAAGCAAGGCAGGCCACTTTCCACAGCCTAAGGACCAACCAGCACATTTGCTCTTCAAGCAATTCTTTGTATCAAAAGGACTAAAACCAGGAAATTGAACGTTTATGCAACCAGACAATGGAACAGTCCCAACAACTCACAGGTTCGAATGAACCCTGTTCAAAAACCAGGTTCCAGTCCCTTAACCAAACCCCCTGTATTCTAGGTCAAATATAAACCAAAGCTCAACTCAGCAGCATTAACAAAAGGTACAAAGCACAAGTGCCACCTCCTCCACAGTCAGGCCCACTCCTCTTTCTCCAGGAACTTGCCAGCATTTTGGGGAAGGAGAACAGGACAACCCCTGCATTGGGGCAGAGACATCTGAGCATCAGTATTTTATTGCAAAGACTAATTACATTGCTGTGTACAAGTCACACCAGGCAGTGTGCTCCTTCACTGAAGTGGTACAAAATACATATGGTACAGCCAGTCCCTGGGGTGACACTGGGCTGCTGGGGGACACCGTCGGGAAGGGAGAGGGGATGGTGGAGACAGAGGGAAGACCCTGAGGCAGGGTCTGGGCTTTGGGCAGGGTGGGAGGCTGGAGGCTGCTGCTGCGTCAGGGAACCAGGGGTTCCCATCATGTGCAGCGACGGGCGATGCCAACCGAGGGGACACGGGGCTGGGACAGCTCAGGGCTGGCCACGCTCACAGCCAAGCAGCCTCTTCCCCAGCTGGTGTCAGGGTCCCACAGCCCAGCTCCTGCCACCAGCCCCCAGAACGTGGCCGCTGCAGCTGCAGGGGCTGCCCGG